ATACTCCAACAATAAATTTAGAAGCTTGGTTTTGCTGATTGGGACTAACTGTTCTTCTTCGTTCTTCAGGTCCTTCATCGCCCAAAATCTACGGATGTGCCATGCAATAAGGCCTAGGAGTAAGTTATGCATCGAATCTATCACATGGTAATTGACAATATCCCAATATTCAAGGTCCACCAATGCTGAATAGCGAACACCATGCAGCTTAAAGATGTTCTTGCGCTCTTCCACAGTGGTTGCATCTCGCGCCTGATGTGCCCAGATGGTGTGCTGTTCACAAGTTCGATGAGGCCATGTTTTTGGATCCAGATTGTTGATATCACACTTTTTCAGAAGGCAGATCGAGCAGAAAAACGTTGCTGTTACTCTGGGAAAACCAAGGGAGCGCCTCAAGGCCACTACATCGGCGATATACAGTAGAAGTCCAGCGTGGATGAGCCGTCCTTTCTTGTGTTGATAAGTTTGAGATAATAAAAGTCCAGTACTCCATAGTTTTTGAAGTTTAGTAACAATAGGGCGCTGGATCCAGTTAGTTTGTTCAAGCGAAGGCTCGCGGGGCCCAGGCGCAATCCCCACCAAGAAGATATGTTCGGGGAGATACCGTAGGCGGATTGGTAGTGTAAGGCAAACCAGGACTATGAAGGTAATTGACGAATGTTTCCCACTAATCTTATTTCCAAAGGGATTGATTGCGTCCGTGAACATGGCAAAAGTAAGGTTTCCGCTTGTTGACGTGTATTGACTTCCATCAGGACCTTTGAGTTCTTTCCACGCTTTTGATTGATGGACATCATGTTTACTTTCATTTTCATTATAAGGCTTTTGAGATTCCTCAAGCGATTCATCCAACCATTGTTCAACATTCGGACGCGATAACAATCCTGCAATCCATTCTGAAAGACTCTGAATGGCATACCTCCGAACTGGTTTATTCTTTCCGTGTACATACTTCAAAAGCAGTTGCCCACAGGTTTTTTCGGAAAACTCTGAGATATCTGGCTCATATTCTAAAGAGGAAGGGGAGGCGTCTGCGTTGGGATCGGTAGTATCGGGGGGACCGCCTGGAATGTTTGTGACACAATAGTTACAATGAGTTGGAGTACTTTCGAGTGGATATAATGCAAAGCATGCATCACAGCAGTTCATTTCAATTAAATGAGGATCAATTTTTAGCCATCTAAATACAGTAGTGATACTCTTGGGAATTTGTTGTAACGTGATGGCATCGGATGGTACAAGAGATTTTGAATTGTTCAGAGGATTGATGCCGCGGGTGAGACACAGCTCAAGGGTTATTCGTAGATTGTCTAGTAGCCACGAAGCTGTTGAGATTGACATCCATGCAAAGATGCTTAACATTGCGGCGACAAGACCCACATAAAGTAGTAATGGGTTGACGTCTTCCAAGCTGAAATTAAAAAATCGATCTATCCGACCAACTCAAATGAGCATGGTTTCAAATAAAAATTTATGAGTGACAGTGCAGATTATATTTACCACATTGATACACCGGAACCCCGGCCTGATATGCCGTGCTAGCTGTCAAGCGGGACATGAGATGTATTTTCGTCTACACAAGCAGCATGTGTCCCACTATCCGTGGAGTTGGGGAGTATCAGGAGTAGATGGCGCTGATACCGTTTCTTGTGATATTTCACCAGTATCATGATCATCCATGTTAAAGTTGATAATCGGAAGTTGGAACATTTTTGAATAGGGTCCTTTAGGTTCATTTATTGTTGGATTC